AAATAAAAAAAAGGAGTGGATGGTTAGATGGGATGGAATAGAATTTTATTTTATTTTTAAAATAAAAATAATATCAATTTTCTTTAGGAAGAAGTGGCGGAGGGATTGAGGTTTGAACTTTTTAAAAATATTTTATGAAAGAAATTTAAAAAATAAAAAAATGAGGGGTTTGTTTGGGTGCGGTGAGAAAAATATTTTAAAATTTCTTTTTTTTAAGTATATTGATCATATATTTAGTATATGTCACCTAAATTGTTTAACGGGTTTAAAAGTATAAGGTATATATATGTCATACACACCAAGGTGTATATATATATATATATTATTTTTACAGTTTAGTTTTTCTATACATGCCATTATTTTGTTATTATTTTTTCTCATATCTACTATCCCTCATATTAATGTTATTTCTTTTTTTTTAAGGATAGATATACTTTAATCTTTAGCTTTTTAACTAATATGAATAGTTTATTTAATTTTTGTCAAAGTGGATATTTATCTATGTAAAATGTCATGTGACAAGGTTTTTGCAAATAAAAGAGAAAGTGTATTACACACACCATTAGAGTGTGTTTCTCAAACTAATAAGTGATAATTTAGATATGAAACTCACACTCTCAATAGTTTAGATATAAAATTCAAAAAAAAGAATAATTTAAATATGTTTATAACATTTATCTCTTTTAAAAGTTATAGAAATATTAAAATACTTACATGCTACTACAAACTAATCATGATAAGCATTTATCCTTATTGCACGTATGATAAATTGATGGAAACATTTTTGTACCTATACACAATAAACAATTCCAATTGAAGTAATTGTTTTTCAGCCAAAAAGGGTTGTATTGGCAGTGGGATCCACATATTTATTTTTATACAATATTTGGAAGAAAATAAGTACTACTACTAACTATTTTAAGAAGGGAACCAGTGGTTCTAACCTCAAAATTTAGTTAACTTCCTTCCATATATAGACTGTCCGGTCAACGTTGTTCCAGCTTCTTCTGATCTGTCTGTTCCTTTTTGGCACTTCCACTTTTCAACCAATTTGGAACCTCAAAACACTTATATTTGTTCCTTACTTCCATTTAAATAAAAAAATAGTGTTTCACTGAAAACACTATTCAATTACTTCTTTGATGACATCAAGATGGAACATATAATGTTTGAACAAAAAGATTATTTAATTATTGTTTGATACCATCAAAGTATATATATATACTCTAATAGTATCAAGGATGAAGAAATAATGATCTAGTGAATAGAACAAGTGGACAATGGAATAAATAGTTTGGACCGTGAGTTTAATCGAGATAAATATATTGATTTGGATTCCATTTAGGTAAATACTTTTATCTAATGAGTTCAATTTATGTAGTATTTCTTTTAAGTGAAATCTTCTAAGTACAAAATATATAGCTCCCCTTTCTAACTTATTTGTCTTATTGTTTAACATCATAAGTCCTGAATTTTCAAAACAGGCACCTTAACTCTGCCAACGTTCTATTACTCTCCTAAATAATTTTCAACAAAAACATGTTAACGATGCGGGTGTCCTAAGACCAAAAAAATATAAGACATATTTTTAAAATTTAAGAATTCATGATTCAATTTTCTTTTTACTATTTTAAATTTCATATTAAATAAAAATAAAATATAATTGAAAAGGAGTAAAAGAATTGAAGTCTTTTCTTTTCACGTCACTTCACTTTGCTAGTTTAAATAAGATAATTATTTTAATTTTATAGATGGCAACCTGCCATTAAAATAATTAGGTTAGCCGACTTGCTCAACGTTGCAGGCTTGCAGCATTTAAGCAGAAGTTACAAGTCCTGCATCTATTCCGCCTATTCTCAATTACGGTTAGTGCTTACAAAACTAGATTAATTAAACGAAAAAAGGAAGATTTTGTTTTTGTACCTCTATAAATAAATTTTATTTATCTCTTAATACTTTTTCAACATAATTGTTTTTATTATTCAATTTTAGGGTTATATTGGCTTGTGTACTAAACAACAACATTTTTGTTATGCAATCTGTATTCTAAACCAATACTACTGATTACAAACTTTTTCAGAAACAATAAATTCCAAAGTTTAAATCACGTAGTGAAGAACATAAATTAATTAAGAAACTAATTACTGTAAAACATACCAGAATCTGCAACATTCGTATGAAACAGAAAGGAAAGAGAACCGAGCCCACTGGATGCACAATGTCCCCTTAAGGAAATTATTCCCCTCTAGTATCCGAAGTTTAAATTGGAATATATCCACCAAGGATAGAACGACTCTATTCACCAGTATATTGATACCCAAAACAATGGTGTCATCGAGCCACTCAAAGGCTGTAACATACACTAATAATGAATTTGTACAGAAGAAGAAGAAGTTCAGAAAAATCGTAAGTGAAAAGTCTGAGGATTCACAAGTATTTATAGCCAAGCAGCACTGGTTCCGAAAGGTTGCAACCTTTTAGAAACCACACGACCATTCATGAAAGTCTGCAACCTTTCAAACGGTCATGGTTGTTCCTGAAAGTTACAACCCTTCATAACAGTCTTCTCCAAAGATGGGAAATTCAAATAAAAATGGGAAAGATGTTTTAAATACAAGTCGCGCGGATCCGAGTTGGTTCGGGTCGTTTCAATTAGTTATTTAAATAATTAAAACGTCCTGGCTAGAAAATAATCTCTCAATCATTTTCCAAAGCCGAAGCTGAGTGAGCGACAACTATAGCGTGAGGGGGTCCCTCTTTCCAACCCTTTTAACAACTAGTAGAAGTGTTCCTCTATTTAAGCACTCTAACTTTTCTTTCCACCGCCAATGAGGGAGAAACGTCTTTTACTAAAGCATAAGAGAATCTTTTCAAATTCCTCTTTTCATCTTCCCTCCATTTCCATTTAATTCTTGTTATATACCCAACAATTTCCAACGAAGTTACATAAGTGGGGTGTAGGAGGATCGAGTATATATACACATACCTTACCACTATCTAATGGAGGTAGAGAGACTGTTTCGAAAGTGCCTCGACTCAAGTGCAACGAATTCAAGAACAAAGAAAAAGATAGTATATAAAACATACAACAAGCACAATAAAACAGGGCAATAGTCGAAATACAGTAAATAACAAACAATGATAGATATCAAAACCAAGAACATAAATATGAGTAGTTTAACCACAAACACCTACAAACCTAAACACTCGAAAAGCAAAACAATCATCCACTACCTACTAACCTTCTACCCTAATACGCGTCTTCCACACCTTCCTATCTAATGTCATGTCTTCAATAATCTGAAGTTGTCATGTCTTATCTAATCACATCTTTTCAATACTCGGCCTACATATACCTCTCATCATACCTACTACAACCAACCTCTCATACCTACAAGCCTAAACACTTGAAAAACAAAACAATCATCCACTACCTACTAACCCTCTACCCTAATACGCGTCTTCCACACCTTCCTATCTAATGCCATGTCTTCAGTAATTTGAAGTTGTCATGTCCTATCTAATCACATATTTTCAATACTTCTTCGGCCTACATATACCTCTCATCATACCTACTACAACCAACCTCACACATCTCATCATTGGGTGCATGCACATGTTCTCTTCATACATGTCCAAACCATCTCAATCACGCCCCCTCATCTTGTCAACCACATAAGTCATTCCCATCTTATCTCGAATATTCTCATACCTAGTTTTATCATTCCTTGTATGCCCCCACATCTACCTCATCATCCTCAATTTTGTGACATTAATATTCTAAACATAACAGTTTTTGATTGGCTAACTTCATACAACAAAGTCGACTTAACCACCACTTTATAAAATTTACCTTTAAATTTTGATGGTACAAATCGAGATCCTAAATCTGAGAATCAAGATCGAAAGAATTACACATAGAGGAAGAACAAATGATGTAGAGTAAAAATCTAGCTCCAAAGTGGATTAATTTTACTTTCTTAGTTAGGTTCCTTTTTCCTTTGTTGTTTTCTCATTTGTTAGAAATAGTTTTCTCTCTTTTCTTTATCTCGCTCTGTTTTCTGGACTTACCGTTTGGATTAATGAAATGGGTGATGAAGTAGTCCACCCAAAATTGACATAAAAAAAATTATCTTTCGTTTTTTTTTTCTTAATATAAATATATTTTTCTTTTTTAACCACATTTTCCTTAATTTTACTTCTCACATTTCATGATTAAAATCATAAGATTAAAAATATTTTAATATATTCAATATATTTTTAATTTAAAATCCACTTTAACTTTATAACAAGCCAAAATCAGATAAATAAATAATTGAGACAGAGTTATTTTCCCATTCCTATCCTTGCCTTTTCTTATATCCAAGAAAATGGTGAAAAGAGGTTAGTTAGCGAAATAAATATGTTCAATATATTTTTAATTTAAAATCCACTTTAACTTTATAACAAGCCAAAATCAGATAAATAAATAATTGAGACAGAGTTATTTTCCCATTCCTATCCTTGCCTTTTCTTATATCCAAGAAAATGGTGAAAAGAGGTTAGTTAGCGAAATAAATATGTTTATATAATATACTCCAGTACTACATGTGTTGGAGTTTCCTATAATGGAATAATAAGAAAATTGTGGATTCCTTGGTATAAATTGGTGACCACTTACCTAAAAAGGATAAAATTGCATTTTATTCTATACCTTAGTTTTACCCAAACACACTGCACTATACGTTACTTCCTTCCCTTCGTCTTCATTCTATCTATCCAATCCACTTGTAAGCCCTTTCATCACCATACACACACAACACAACCTTTCTCTCTCTCTCTTTATCAACTTGTAATATTGTGATTGCATTTTAATATTATCTTCTTCTCCAATAAACAAATTATTGATGATGATCTCTCAGTCTATTCCGCAAATAGTTTTGATTTCTTCTTCTATTTTACTAGTTAGTTTATACATGTAATAAATATCTGTGAAACAGAGAAAAAGTGAAGTGGGAGATATGTTGGATCTGAATACATATACTCTTTTCTTCAAGGATGATTCTGCAACATCCAACACTGCTTCATCAGATTCCAACAGCTCCTCCTTCCAGCCTCGTAACCATTCACTTTTAACTCTTAATTTCTCCATACTTAAGAGCGATCGTGAAGATGAGAGTAGTACTACTGGTGATATGCTCACGAGACAGCTTTTTCCTGTGAAAGATGAGACGAAGAAGATTCAAGGTCAATCTCAGTGCTGGCTCAACTTGTCTGTATCGGAATCCGGTGGGGTACAAGTGCCCGTTTACAAACCTCCGGTGCATAAGAAAAGCCGACGTGGACCCAGGTCCCGTAGCTCTCAGTATCGTGGCGTCACATTTTACCGGCGAACTGGAAGATGGGAATCACACATCTGGTACTTCTCTTGAATTTTCAATTGCAGTAATAATTCACAACTTGCTCTGCGTATTTATTTGATACTTTTTTAAAAATCTATCGAGATGCTTACTTTTATGCTGATTATTGTTCATTGGGTCGATGTGCAGGGATTGTGGGAAACAAGTGTATTTGGGTAAGCATCCATAAAAGTTAATTATATCGAAGACGAGTTTCCGTGTTGTTAATACCGTTGATTTGGGTGTTTGTTTTTCAGGAGGATTTGATACAGCTCATGCTGCTGCTAGGTAAGAGTAAGAGCAGCAATCAATGTTTCATACTTTTGAACTAGATCTAAATGTTTTCTTTTGAATAATTTAGGGCATATGATCGAGCTGCAATAAAATTTCGGGGAGTTGATGCTGATATCAATTTCAATATAACTGATTACGACGAAGATATGAAGCAGGTAGAATAATTAATATTTGTGGAAGAATGATTGTGGATATCATTAAAATTTACAACTGTTTGCTCATTGATCTGCAGATGAAGAACTTGTCAAAAGAAGAATTTGTTCAGGTACTCCGTCGCCAAAGTAATGGCTTTTCTAGGGGAAATTCAAAATACAGATCAGGTGTAACCTTGCACAAATGTGGTCAATTCCTTGGGAAAAAGTAAGGATGCCTAAAATTATCTATTTGAAAAATATTACTAGACGCATTATATTTTTATAATTTCGCGTGAAGTTTTATACCCGGTGGTTTAGTTGATTTTTCTTTCAAATTTCTTGTCTAAACTACAAACTTATGGTGGTAGTTGATTATCGTTGGAAATGATAGGGGTCTCTAGTACTGTTCCTATAAGATTAAAGTGCTTGGTTGCACATATATTTGACAGCAAAGTCAAAGCTGAAGGTCCTTGTGATCATGAATTGATAGCCTTTTGTGACTGAATATCTCATTTTCTTAATCTCATCTAACCAAATCTGCACTTTCCTATTTGTGGTGCAGGGCTTATGAAAAAGCAGCTATCAAATGTAATGGAAGGGAAGCAGTTACCAACTTTGTGGCTAGCACGTACGAACGAGAAATGAAGGAGGATAATAAAGATGGTGGTACATCCATCTAACCTTATCTCTTATACATCTTTCTTGCAACTTGTGACATTTTGGTAACCTGCAGAATATGATAAGTTCTCTCAACATGTATGTAGGTAGTGGTGAGAATCTTGATCTGAACCTCTGGATTTCTCCGCCTTTGGAGGGTCTAAAGGGCGGTGAAATTGGTAGAAATGTACACTTCAATTTTGGAGGTCGCGATATGGTTATTGGCAAAACATTAGAGGTATTTTCTGATGTAAATACGTAAAAGACTTCATAGCTTATCTGTTTTCTCCTTAGTACATTCTCCGTGGCTTGAGCTTTTTGTCACTCTGCAAAATACTTTTGAAGATGCATCAACCAGTCTACTTCACATACTTTAATTAGCTCTAACTTCTATGTTCACTCTATAGCACGACTTTGCACTCTCTTCATTTTTTGGTTTTAATATTTTCTTCTTCACTCCTCTTTTGTCAATCTTACAGATTGAAAGCTCCTCTACTGTTCCACAAGGTCCACCAACAGCGTCTAAGGTTTCCATATTGACTGGCATGTATCCTGTTTTTTCTCCCCACAGTACAGTAAGTATCGTGTTCTACTCAGACATGTACATGAGTTTTATGTTATATTGTAACACCAGGCAATGCTGACTGTCTTTTACCGTCTGCCAAATTAAAATTTCAAGGCTGCTCTAGCCTGGACATAGCTAATAGTCATTTATTTCAGAATCTATTGCTTCTTTTTATTTGAATAAAGCATGATGGAGATATTTTGTATTGTCTAACAGGAAGGAGCAATGACGAAGGCTGAAGCAGCAAGTTCGTCTCCAGGACTTCCAAATTGGGCTTGGAAAACACATAGCCAAGGTGTGGTCACTCCAGTGCCAGTGTTTTCTTCTTCTGCAGCATCATCAGGATTCTCTACTGCTACCACTCTGTGTACAAATTCCCTCCTACCGCCAGGCAACCAACTAAGTCTCCCCACAAACTCAACTTTCCAATACCCTTTGTTGACCCTTAACATCAGTTAAGACGGATTGCCACGACCACCTAATGATCGTGGAATACATGCTCAGTCAAGTGGCAAGTAGATAAAGGCTGTCACTGAACTATGAAATTCTTGGAATTCTGTTTCCATTGTGTGCATCATACATAAAGCAGCACCAAGTGTAAATTATTTAGCACTTGATGATGTATAGGATGGTAGAATAAACTTAAAAAGACCTGCTACAATATAGCTATTAAACATGGGTACCCTGAGGGGTAGCTCAGCTGGTAAAGGCCTGGGACAAAGTCCTTCAGGTCGCCGGTTCGAGCCCCAGCAGGGCCACTGGAGGCATTACAAACCGGCCGCGTCTCCAGGGCCCCGTGGAACTAACCGTGGTGGACCCGCCTTGAAACAGCGGGACCCGGTGGGTACAGCTAGTCGGGTTCGCAAAGCGACGCCCGGAAACCACGGTAAAAAAAAAATAAAAATAATATTAAACATGGGTGATTCTTAACCAGACTAAGTGTTCTGTTTGTAAAATAGAAAATGCTAAAGGGACTTGTGCTGTAAGAAATTTGCCTTGATCTGATCAGATTTTGGTTTGATATTCTACATGACCTACAATTTAGTTACTTAACTTTTCGACAAAGTCTGAAACATGTTACCTAACATATTCCAACGAAACAGTAAGGACAATAAATTAAGAACACAATTTTACGTGAAAAACACATGGCTTAAAAGGTGTAGAAAATCATGATCCGTACCCCTACAAGATTTAACTCCAGCTTCACCAAATCACTGAGCCTCAACAGTTTAAGATTACAAACCTATGTAACCTAAGAAATTGTAAACTGTAATTCCTAACAACACACAAACCTCTCAAGTGTGTTTCCAAGTTTTCGAGTTACCTCAACTTGAAGACAACACTCTTTAATTAAGTTTATAACTCACTAAACTAAGATTCCATCAATATGGCAACTCAATGAAAAACTCCTAATACATAAACTCTGTAATAGGACTTGGTTCTTCATTGTGTTCCTTCAATCTTTTGGTAGCACTTGTGAAGTCAATTTGTCAATTGTCCTTTTGCTCTGTAAGTGTGAAGCCTTTTCCATTCAAAAAGTACGGAAAACAAGCTCTACTAGTGACATTTCACATTGATTGTGTCTTTCCATCACTCCAAACACAACCCATCTTCACCCCCACCTTCCATAACGCTCAACACAACCATCCCACTCCCTTAACTCTTCACCTCCATCTCTTATAGTATTTGTCTAAATAATATGAAAATAATTTCATGTGAGAACAAATATAATAAAAGGGGGAACGAAAAAGGTAAATATGGAAATAATAATGTGAGTTCATGTTAGTTGTCAGGTTATAATTAAAGCAACAAACTAGAAAAACACGTAAAAAAGGATAGTACAACTACCTAAAAGCTATTTCAATTTTCTATTAAAAGTAGGGGCGTATATGATCGGGTTGGTTCGGGTTTTTCAAATATCAAACCAAATCATTTTTGTCAAAATTTAAATTTATAAACCAAACCAAACGAACAAAACTTAGGTTTTTCAACCTTGGCTTTTTCGGGGTTGGTTCGGGTTTTTCAAATATCAAACCAAATCATTTGTGTCGAATTTTTAAATTTTTAAATCAAATTAAACTAATAAAACTAGATTTTTTCGAGTTTTTGAATTTTTTTTGAAAAAGTATTAAAACAAACATATAATTAACTTGTGCTCCAAATATTTCTTTAGTCTAACCAAAATACAACTATCTAAGGTGTTTCTTAAGAAAATAACACAAAATATGAGATGAGTGATGACACTTAAATATTCAATAAAAAATAACAATGAAATCGTATAAAATAAATATTTCAAATTGATAAGTCATAATGAAAATGATCATAATTTAAAAGTACTACCCGTGCTAAAATAAGTCTAATAGGTATTAATTACATGATTAAACATTGAAGAAAAATTAAAATTATGTTATGTATTTTAAATGTCAAAACCAATGTAAAACTAAAGAACAAATATTCAACATTACTGTCATTCTTAGTATTGAATTTTTTTATTTTTTTGTTAGCATTAGTATTGATTTGATTTTGAATTGAGCTTTATTAGAGGTACTAATATATATGGACTATAACCTTTATTGGACTATTCAAAATTTTAAGTCTAAAAAAATTGAATAAATATGCTAAAAGATAAAAATTATGAAAACGTATTAATAATATTTAGAAATTACATCAAAGTAAATACTTTATATATAAAATAAATTATATATATATATAATGTCGGGTTGGTTTGGTTTCGGGCTAACTTTTTTTAGTTAAAACCAACCAACCCAAGTAAAGTCGAATTTTTTTTTCAATACCAAACCAAGTCAAACCAAATCATTAGTCGGGTTTTTTTTTGTTTGATTCGATTTGCGGTTGATTCGATTTTTGGTTTGATTTTGTACACCCCTAATTAAAAGGTAAAAAAATAAATTAAAAGGGTAAAAATTTATTATATTACCCACAACTTTTTTTTTTCAAATTTAACATTACACGAGATATTTTAAAATTTGTCAGCTCTGTATATGAGGCATTTACTTTAAATTTACATGGTAGGTGCTAAATTTATACTACTATAATAGTAGTTAAATAGTTGCATTATGCATTGATCTATCACCATAGGTGCCAGGGTACGTACATTATTCATTTAAAATCATGGCCACAAGACAAATTCCCCTCCTGTTAAAGAACAGTGCAACTGTTGTTTTAACATTTATTTTGTGAAAATTTCAATCGATATGACTTGGGAATGACCATTAGATGTTGAGCTCTAGCTAATACTAAACCAAATTTCTCAGTCATGTCAACATCTTTTGGTATCATACCATTTGGTAACTCCCAATCAAAGCAGTGAACCAATTGTGCTACCAACAATCGAACAATGGTGAGTCCTAGCTGCATACCGGGGCAACTTCTTCTGCCAGATCCAAATGGTAAAAGTTGAAAATCCCGTCCCCTAAGATCAATGTTGCATTCCAAAAACCTCTCTGGTTTGAACTTCTCTGGCTCAGGCCAAACATTTGGATCCCTCCCAATTGCCCAAACATTGATTAATAGTCGGGATCCTTTACGTATATGAAAATCATCAACCCTGCAATCTTCAATTGACTCGTGAGGAATTAATAGTGGCGCGACTGGATGGAGCCTAAAACCTTCTTTTATGACCATATCTAAGTACTCCAGACTTTCTAAATCCATCTCTTCCACCATTCTCTTTCTCCCAACTACTCGTTCCATCTCGTTTTGAAGTTTTTTCATTACATCAGGGTGTCTTAGAACTTCTGATAAAATCCATTCAACTGCTGTTGATGATGTATCCATTGAAGCCACCAGCAAGTCCTATATGTTGGGTTCAGAAGAATCATGATGTTATGCGGAAACTTACAATTGCAAATCATAATGTTGATAAATTAGAATACAAAAACTATACTAAAAAACATAATATTATTATATGATTTGACCAATTAACCTACATATTGAAACTGTTGAGAGAAAATCTCCCCTAAACATAACTCTTTAAACTACTTTTTGTCGCTATAAAATTACTCAACTTATTATGGATGATCTCTCCAAAAATAGTTACTAGTTATTTTCTGTAAAATCACATAAGCAAAAGTGTAGTACAGTTGAGAGTAGTGAATTACCAGCAAAATGGCTTTGACATGACGATGATCAAACTCGAACTCAGCTTCATTAGAGTGCATAATGCCCATAAGTGTATCAACAATATCCTTAGCTTGATTCTTGTCACTGAATTTATGAAGGTGCTCGTCGATAACTCTCTCCAGAAACTCATCAAAAGGCTTAGCTAATTCCTTCATACGACGAGACAATCCTTGGAGATCAAACACACCAAGAAAGGGAATATAATCACCAAGTTTTGGCCTTGCTGCTATACACATTGTCTCTTTAACCAATTCATTTAAACCAAGATCCTCATCCATGTACTTCTTCCCAAATATCATCAAACAAGACATGTTGGCACTAAGAGATGCAATTTTATCAGTAAGATCAACCACAACACCGCGATGTTGTTTGAGGAAATTGACAAGAATTCCAAGCTCTTGTTTCCTCATAGACTGAAATGAATGAATCTTGGCATTGCTAAGTAATTGTAGAGTACACAATTTACGCATGTTTCGCCAATAAGGTCCATACTTGCTAGACACAAGATTTCTCTGATCATAGAAAATGTATCGAGAAACCTCACTATATGGTCTACTAGCAAAAACAAGATCATGGTTCTTCAAGAATTGTTGTGCAGCATAAGGAGATGAAGCAACAATGACAGGAACAAGACCGAAACGCATCGACATTATAGGGCCATATTTTTTGGCTATTTTATGAAGATCATGGTGAATATTCTTGCCTACCATATGAAGATTACCAATAAGTGGAAGCCCTCTAGGCCCTGGAGGAACTTTCTTCTTCCATGTTAATTCTTGAATAAGATAAGTAAACAATGCAACTAATACAAGAGCTAGCCAAATACAATAAGCCATCCTCCCTTTTTTCTTAATAATGTATACTTCCTTCCTCACAATAATATATAGACATTTACCAACATGGGATTGTGGTGCACTAGTGGGAGTGCTTCACCCTTAACCAAAGGTCTCGGATTCGAGCCCCTGGATATGGAGAGAATCTTGTTGGGAGCGTCACCCCTAAATAGGCCCTGCAGTGCGCGATCTGAATTTAATTAGTCAGAGCTCCAATGTAGGCTCCGAACACTAGGTGGAAAACCAAAATATATATATATAGACATTTCATTGAATACCAAATTTAAGAAAGGATTTAGAAATTTAACCTTTTGTAGCTATAAAATCATGTCATTAACCAATAAAGTAACAAGTTCAAGTTAAATTACTTTTAAATATAAAAAGTATCTTTTAAAAATAAAATAAAATGGTCTGTGTGTTACATTTAAAATTTAAGTGTAAAATCCCATAAGGTAAAAATGAGTCAAATCCCATTTAGTCTTCATCGTTAATATTACAAATATTGACTTTCCTAACCAAGTAACTTCTATTGGTGAAACTTTCCGAAAGTGGTGGTGTCCAAAAAGGATCTCCTTGCCTATTTTCCTACCCATCAACAAAAATAATCTTCAGCGGTAATTAATTAACAGTAATAGCTTAATTATCGTTAAATATATATTTTTAGCGACAATTAGTACTGTACTCTTTGTATGTCTCTAAAACATTTAGCCACATTGGACCTAATCACATTTAACTAATGCTGGTAAAGACTTTAACACTTTTTATTAATGTGTCTATTTATTGCCGCTAAAAGTTGTTTTTATTGTAGTGCTAATCTATCCTCTCTGAACACGTGTTTGATGGTTGTTGCTCCAATTTTCTCCATTAAGTACCGGCATAGCACTAACATTAAGGGGTCGTTTGGTTTGAAAATGAGTTATGATGGGATAAGTTATGTTGGGATAAGTTATGTTGATGTTGGGATAAGTTATATTGGGATTAGTTATGATGGGATAAGTTGTGTTGGGATTATTTTTTATTGAGTGTTTGGTTTGTTGTATTCAAAATAATAAATTTTAAGAACAATTTATTTGTTTACAAAAATGTCCTTCATTAATGTAAAAAGTGATATAACAAAAGGGTTGAAAGAGACATTTTTGTCATTTACCTATTTTATCCTGGGATAAGTTATCCCGGGATTACTATACCACCCAAGGAGAGGGATAACTTATCCCGGTACTAATTATTAATCCCGGGATAAGTTATCCCGAACTTGCCAACCAAACAACAAAATAAGCGGTACTATAATTTAAACCCGTGACTATTTGTTATTATACCTCACACCAAACGACCCCTAACGTTCTTGAATGTGAATTATTTACTTTTCTCACAATTATATTAACACGTACCCAATTAAAGTTTTAAATGCTTGCAAACCCATTAAGTGTTATAATTAGGTACTACAAACTATATCCCTAATCCCTACCATAGGTTCAGCTATCTATTGGAGTTTGGCTATATCTGATTAAATTACATCAACATTTTAATTTAAAAAATTAATGTAATTACTTGAAGCAAATTATAGTGAGTTTTTTTTTTTTTTCTTTCTTTTGGTTTTTGACGTTCCAATCCGTATTTTATAAACGTTTATTTGTGATTTTTTTAATTTAAACAACTAAAAAGAATTCTTTTATAATTTAGTACGATATATAATATTGATTAACGGACCACGACTTAACAACTGTTAAATAAATAGAGCCATATAGCACACTAAATTACTGCGCTATATACCTCCCAAAATATTACTCCAACACTTAGTTATTTTGTATATATAACTAATGAAATATTACTCAGTGACTTTTTGTAGGGTTTAGATTAAGTGTGTTACTTATAGGATTTAAGGTTAGTTATAGTTGTGGTAGTTTATTCGCCCATTTTATTTTTGATTACTGAAAAGATAATTATCAATTAGTTGTTTTAAACAATAGAACTATGGAGTTGCAAGACTTTCCAAGTTGGTGCATAATTATGTTTCGAATATGTGAAGATTTTTTACTTTTTACTATTAGAAATTGACACATAACTGTTACATATAATTGGCAATATATAGTCCAATATTAATTATCAATTAATAGACAAATAAAAAACTGGCACATATTAGCCCAAAAGTAATAAATCGGCATTTTTAAAATTATTTTTTAAAATAAAAAAAATAATATCATTTTTCTTGTGATTTCCAACAATTTCTCTAGCGATTATTTAGAATTATCTCTCTCCTTTTAAATTATAATTTTTTAAATCATAAAAGATATTTAACATTATCTCTCTACTAACTTCTAACCATTTCTACTTAAAATTGGCAAAACATTATTTAAAATTATTTCTCTCCTTAAAATAAGCAAAAAATACTTGATATTTACCTTTTTAACCAACGTAACTTGTATTCATAAGAATAGTGATTGTCTTTATATTCCTATAAATTAGGAATGTCATTTTACGGATACATGTAGCTAGGGGTGTTCATGGGGCGGTTTGGATCAGTTATTGGTCAAAATCAAAACCAAACCAACATAATCGATTTTAAAATTATCAAAACCAAACCAAATATAATATACATTTATCGGTTTGGTGGTTATCGATTTCGGTTTGGTTTGGTTCGGTTATTCGGTTATTAACAATACACAAAAATAAAAGAAACAATTCATTCAAATGTGAAAAAAGTAATAACAATCCATTCAAAACGAAAAATAGTTAGAGTGACTTAAATTACTGAACTTTCGATCACTGAATTTACTATCAAAAAAGCTTTAAAATTCACTACATTGGCCTAGAAGGAAGAGACAATAACATTTTCAGTCCCACAAAGAATGTTCATAGACACTCATATACATGAAATCAATAAGATAAATGTTTTCACCTCGGGGATTTTTGCTTTCAATAAGTAAATTATAATTTTTTTTAATGAAAACATATATAAGATCTTTAAAATTGTTTATAGAAACAATATATTCAGTATGTATATTAATAAAATATATGTATATAATTCATCGGTTCGGTTCGGTTATTTCTTCGGTTTTTTCGAATAAAATCATAACCAAACCAAATACTATTGGTTTTCAAAAATATAAAACCAAACTAAACCAAACCAAACCCAAATAAAATCAGTTTTATTTTATCAGTTTGGTTCGGTTTTTTAGTTTGGATCAATTTTTATCCAAATCGTGAACACCCCTACATGTAACAATTTAATTTTTTTATGTATACATTAACTAAATTGCAATTTATTTTTGTATACATTTATTTAACATATTGATTTAGTTGATGTATAATTATTTTATTTTATAAATTTTATTGTATACATTGATTTGGCAAATGCAATATGTATACATTACTTATATTTTCTTTGTATACATTAACAATATACATAAGTATATTGTACAACTGTTGATATCTACCTCTAATTGATATATTACTTTCGTCAAAATATTTTGATATATACAATTAGATTGGTATATATATTGTCAACTGCATATACATAATATCATATTTCGTATACATTCAGTATGAAGACATAACAATTTATACGAATTCATATTTCATGGTGATAGTGTCATATTCAAAATGTGTTCTCCTCTATCAATTTGTATACTCATAACATTGTGTATCGTCACTTTAGAGATCCTTTATTGTAATGACAACAAATTTTGAAAATATTATTTTTTTTGAATCGTTGGTAGTAAAATCTTCAAAATCAGAACCATTATTTCAATTGTTGACAGTATACTTAGAATAATCTCTGTTACTCATTAAATTTAGAATAAAAATTGCATAGAATAAAAATAAGATACTCCCGGCTGAAAGATATATAATTCCCAAACACTATTTTTTTGGAGAAAAACACGCCGAATGAATATTCAATTTATTCATGAGATTCAATTTCCTCAACAAGAGATCATTGTGTAATGGGTATCTAATGATAGAAATATTTTTTAGAAAAAAAAGAAGAAGAAGATATAGTTGAAGAATTATGAGAATCAATTTCCCCAATAAGAGAGAATTATGGTGTAATGGGTATCTAATGGAAGAAGCGTATTTTTAGAAAAAAAGAAGAAGAAAGATACAAGTGAAGATATAGAGAAAGAAGGAACAATAAAGTAATTTTTTTCTTTTCAAGAAATAAAAGGATGTGTCTAGGAAATAGAGAGAATATCTCAAAAATTAATAATCACTTTTTTAAAAAATAAACGTAGCTATTGAATGCCAATAAATATATATTTTTAAAATAATTTGCAAATAAATTAAAAATGAGTTATTTATTGCCAATTAAATTCATAGGTTGTCATGTCATGCCATTGTTTCTTTAAAAAATGTTAACCGATGTATCAACTAGAAGATCATCTTGCACATGATGCTAAATTTTTTATATTTTTTCTAAGAAAAAACGTCCAACAACCATGGAAGAGAGCTTCAAGACCTCTGAGGTAAGAAAACACCACATTCTAGCTCAAATGCTCAGCAATGACTTGGGATTGTTAATTTATATCTTGTGTATTTGTAATTAGTTGAATATTCTCTTAGTTATCAAATGGGTCTTTGATTATCAGGTTAATCTCATGTTATAATTACTTTTCTAAGGGGATGATCAAGGACTTACCCATTTACTTTGATTTAGCTTGAAAGAGTTAATTGAAGTTGGAAAAGATTTATTGGTGCTAATTTGAGGATTAATTTGTCAAATAATGGATTCAAGCTAGTAATAGTAAAATCTTAGTATTGCCTAAAATTGGATTGTCTTTGTTGATACTTAGCTAGGTTTGAAAGAGCTAATTGAGAAATATTTACCAACAATTGAAAGATATAGGTAAATAATTGAGATTCCAAGGCATGCTTGATATGACACATGGTTAATTGAAAAGCTATGCAATTAATGTACAATGGATCGTAATAGAGATTGATTATTTTTCCATTCTCAACTCTCTTTGGTATTTTTGCTTGAGAAGTCATTGGTCATTCTATCCTCTACC